CTCAACATGTCACATCAGAAACTTGTCGCCGTTGGCGTGGGTGGTCAAAAGTATCGAATGTGAACCGTCCAAATGTCCATTAGATTCTCAGACTCTCTTTGTTGCCCACGTACATCTTGGGAAGTCCCAGAAATCTGTAAAAAGATTGACACAACAATAGCATTTGTGGCACAGAAATACTTGGCACATAGCATAGCACAGAGATACAAAGCATCCACTACGACTTGTTTAGATTCTCTCCCCAATGGCGTGGCCACATTAACATCAATGAAGTGAACTTGAATGTAGCTCCCTATTCAATTGCGATCTGGCAGTACCCATATACACAGAAACAAAATCCCTATACTGAGCATCAAATTCCTTCTGTATATTGAATCATTGAAGAACCTCTATCTGGGTATAACACGGTTTGCTACGTGCATGGTATCCCCCCCCAAAAGAAAACATAACATGTCACAAAAGGATACAAAAGGAGATAAAAGGAGTATCTACCGGTCACGACCGGCCCGCGAACTCCGCAACACGAGCAGCGGTTTGTTTCTCTGCGGCCTCTTGATCAGTTTCATCTTTTTCACCTCCTTGTCGTCGAGCATGCACAACTGGCCCAAAAACACAGAAAAGTGAGGAATGGTACAAGCAAGAAGCTACTAGGAACAAGAAGCTACTAGGGGCTCCTGGCCTTACTACTAGGAGCAAGGACGCTACTAGGGGGCTCCTGGCATCGCTACTAGGAGCATTCTTACTACTAGGAACATGGCCGCCCAACCGGCCAACCAGCCGCGTGGGAGCTCGGTGTCTGTCGCGTGTCAGCGTGTCGCGTGTCGCGTGCGTTCAGCACCTCGCCGAGCTTCGTGCGGAGCTCGGCCACCTTCGTATTGGTCATCAGCTCCAGGCGGAGCCTCCCGCGCGTCGGAGCTTCACCCGTGATGCAGCTGCGGCGATGCAGCTGCTCCGACCGAACGGAGGGAACATGGGAGCTGCTCATGACGGAGGTTGATTGAGATGATCGATGAGGGTTTAATGAGATGGCTGCAAACGACTTGAGGCACAGAAAGGCCAAATGGATTGCAAAATAACAAGCCAACAAGGCAATCGAGCAAATTCTCTGTGAATGACAGAGCCAACCGGACCAAAAGGTGCAGAAAGAAACTCTGATTGATGCAGGACAACTAGGACAACTGCCCCCGCAGTGGCCAATTCATGCAACACCTCCAAACCTCCTCTGATGTTTCCATCCTGGGATGTTGATGCCTCAGTCAAAGCCCCAAAATACTATAATCTAATATATCCCCGACCATCCATGTATGGAATATATGCCTAAATGCTGCCTAAATAATCCTACATAGACCCCTGAAACCACCGCAACGTTGGCAAAATAGGCCATACATGGATGGTCTATATTCCATATATATTCCATTAACAGTTGATGAAGTTCTTGGACATCGATGACTGCTGTGAGCTCAAGGAATCGATGACTGTCGCTGGGTTTGTGGTTCCAGACCACTGGCTGATGTCCTCCCACGTCCCACGTACCGTGGACCTCTGGGGCTCATCGTCCTCCCATGTGCTGAACCTGGCCGGTCGGTGTCCAAAGAGTCCATCCGATGAATTGGTGCAACAAGATTGACAAACCTCTCACCCAAATCAACCATCCAGGGAAGTAGGGATGGCAAAATCATGCCCGGCCTTGGGGATTGAGACACTTGGGGTCTTTTCTGATGTGTTGGCAATGGGTGTTGGCTTGTGAACAGGCTCTGGTTGTGGTTCTTGAGGAATCCTTGTCATCCTTCTTTCATGCGTGATTCAGTCCACTGGGCACATGGAAACTCTAGCCACTGGTGTGAGGCCGCCATTCCAAGTCCCATCAATGTACCCTTCATGAATACTCCTTTGGGGCACTTTGTGCCGATGTTCGCGTGGACCTCCTGGAACTTCCAAGGCACCTTCATCTGTCTAACACAAGTCATTTTCTGACAGCCCGCAGAGTTTTTGAGGAAAGTTCCTTGGGATCAGAAACAGGTGGGTTCCAAGAGATTCGATCAGCTTTGACCAAGGATCCCTCAGGGATCCCCAGGCATCAGCCATGCCTTGATGATCCTTGATCCATGTGGTTGTTCCAACGCAGCTTCATGATCACCCACGATCATGCGGCTGTCATGGCACCTCGTAACCTGGGTGGATCACCAAACATGAACAGGTCCAACCGACCAGGGGCTCACTTCTGGAAACGGCGGAGCGGGCCGTTTCGGAGCAGCGGAGCGAAGCGCCGCGCACAGCCGGTTCGCCTGGTCACGGTCACCGTCAATGCTTGAGGAGGCCTTGGTTCTGCGAGGTTCTGCTCCCTGCCGCAGTAGGTTCATCACCCAGCTTTATCCTTCGTGGGATTGTTTTCATTGGTTCGAAAAGACATCAGAATAGATCGCCACAAAGAACAAGGGAGTGGGCCAGGGGCACCTGCACACCCCCAAAGAATTGATCACCATATAAAGGACATACACCTGGCTGGCAAAGTCCTTCAGTAAATCGACAAAAGAACCAAAAAGAGAAGGCCAGCAGTGAACAGCTCACATTATACAGATATGATATCCATGGCTCTCCCGCCATGGCTCTGCCCCGGGCCGAGAGGCGCACCATCGGCCGGGCTCCCGGGCTTTTCCTCCTTCTTCGGTGCCGGCTTGGGTTTGGGCTTCGGCTCCGCCTGCGGTCCCAAAAGGACCCGTGTAGGATCACCAGGCAATGTGAACCTACCATGGTGTTGAAGTCGTTTCAAAATAGGGTTTACTGTCCACACGGATGTGTTTCAAGTGGCAAGATCGACAAAGCATGCAATGCAGGACTAACTTCAGGGTAAAATAGTTGCCAGCGTGTTCGCCTGGCAACTATATCACAGGCAATTGTCCAAAAAAAACATAATTCTGTATGTATTATAATAGCAATGTAAAATAGGTTTCCAGACATGAATAGCTTTGCCTGTTGCAAACGTGACTGGCCACCAACCCAGAAGGAAGGTCACCGACTTTGTCCACACGTGAGACACACCGGTCACCTTGAGCTTCTGGCGGAACCCCACACCGACCTGCGGTCCACCAAACCGGGCACCGATGAGCACCGCTCCGACCAGGAAACCGCATTGTTACGAGTAGCGATGCCAGGAGCTACTAGTAGCGTCCTTGCTTCTAGTAGTGATGCCCTTTGCTCCGTTCGTAGCGATGCCGGTAGCCTGCATGAAAATGAAGGCCAAATCCAACCGTTTTGGTCCCCGACTTTGTGGAGAGGATGTGGAGTGGTGATAGTGGTCTGGTTCCATGAATCGGTCTCTGTACACTTTTGATATCTTTTGATGGTCCTCTTTTCAAGCGCAGGCTACCGTAGGCTAGGCACCATTCCCACCAGCCCGCCAGGACCTCGCTTCACTTCAATAGGTGCAAAACGCTGGGAAACGCCTCGTATTTTCAGGGATCATGGGTCCATTTCATGATTCTCCCTATGTTCACATCACCTGGAAGTGCAACTCCCTGACCCACTTTGACTGGATCTTGCCAAACTCATCCTCAGCAGCACAACGGAGAAAGAAAGCGAAACTGCTTATTCTCCGCTCAGCAGGACTTTTATGCCTGGCACCGACCTGGCTCGGCACCTGTACAGCCCAGCGAGGCTCCCGTTCCAGTGCGTGTTCCACAAGAAGACCACAACGGCACGTGCGGTTTTCCTCGAGCGCAAAGAAAAGGGACGCTCCAAAATCTCCAAATGTGAAACTGTGACAAGCGTTTGGGAGTGGAGCAAGACCAAAGCACGGAACCATGATTGTTTGGAGTGTTTTCTGGATGTTTGTAAATCCCGTCAATTCTTTTTTGGGGGGCGGTCGTTCGCTCATGTGATGGATAGGTGGTGTTCTTCCCTCAACGCCACTTGAAGTACGCGCGACCGTAGCCTGGTCACGGCTTTGCTCGCGCGACCCGACCCGAATGCCCTGCAACACCTGGGTTTTGAAGACCGTGTTCCTGGCCACAAAGACCTGAACTTCACCCATGTTCTTCCTAACTTGATCCTCACTATATATGTCTGCCCCTTGTTGGACGGTAGTTTGGACGGTTTTTGACCTCTGGATCAATGATCCTGAACAAGGACCATTCCAACCTAGCTGAAAGTGGTATATCGGTATATCCCCATCCATGAAGAGAGGGTGTCGTCAATAGTCTACGTACGTCTACAATCACCGTGTCCTACTGAGACTCCTCGATCTCTACAAGCAGTCCTCAAAAGAAATCAAAAGAGTCCCGTCCATGGTTGGCTTTTGCTCCTCTGTTCACCTTATTGCGGGGGGAATGGGGCCACCTGTTCTGGTTTCCAAGTTCACTAAAGCTGGAGCCCCGCTGGGAGCGAGCCGAGGCTCTGGCATTTTCGCCAGGCCAATAAAACCGAATCTGAATTTGTAACTGCTCAAGATCACGAACTGCGTGTGAGGAAAGGTTCCAATAAGTTTCTTGGAATTTTATCTTCAGGACATTGACTGGGGTGTGGGTATCTCGTCACACTGCGCTGGTGGGCCCAAAATTCGTCGACAAAAGAGTCGACCAATCGTGCGACCTGTGACAGGCAGAATCGACCCATAGACATATATGGCCCTCCCGCAACGTTGTCAGAAACTAGTCAACATACCGGGGCCTGATCGGTGAAGAGACTAGAACGTATACCGTATACTGTATGCCGAACAAATAATGCATGATCAAGCCACACCGCCCAGTCTGGAGAGTGGGCTCAGCATCTTTTTAGTTTCGGTGAACCAAATGTTAACCTCAAAAACAACAGCATGTCCCAAGATGAACATACAAAAACATTCGGCGAAGGGAAGTCGTTCCTGCACCCCGTTGCCCAATCCGGTTTGAAGGGTTCAAATTACATCATAACACAGCTCTCTTCCTGTCTGTATTGAATCTTGCGCAGGCTGAGACTTGGTGGGGGGGTTGTCCTTCTGCCTTGCTGTTCAATCATGCGATTTTCTCAGACTCTACCCTTCAAAGTCATCCACGCCATTCGAATCCCTTGGCAGTTCGCGGTCACCCCGAAGAACATCGAAACCTCTGCGCGGCGCTCTCAAGCTACCTGGGCCAGTGCAGGAGCGGACGGCGAAATCAACAGTCTCACAGCCCCGTTCCAAATGTTCAATTACTGCGGCTGTGGCCAAAGACCCACGTAGGTTCAGAATTGTGGGGTCCCATGATCAATCGCAACTCGCGCCGGTGTAGCGCCTGGTGCCCGTGCTCAGCCTCGCCCAGCCAGGCGCTGTTCCTGACGCCGTGCGGTTTGCACTAGGCGGCGCTCCACCGCCTGACAGAGGAGAGGATTGCTGTGGCGAGAGTGGCACCCTCCCAACCAACAAAAGGATCCACCAGGAGTCACAAACGGGTGGTGTTTAGTCCCTAAGTGAGTGGATAATAGGCACCCCTAACCTCCATTAAGCACCCCTTTGTGACTGCTGGCATAAGGATCATATCAATCTATCGGAATCACTATTGTCTAACACCAAATCAGCCCATCCCAAGAACTCACAAGCGGTAACACCCTTTGCAGAACATCTTGAACATTTGAACATCCTCTTTCCCGGCACAGAAACGGCATCTTTCCATGTTGCAAAAACACCATGATTCTGAGTTGCTAAACCTTGACCAACTCGACCTTGCTAAACACGACCGCATCCATCCGTCTGTCGTCTCGTGGTCTGTGGCTGTCGGTGAAGCGGTGCCTTCAAGTTGCGGCTGGACTTCTGCCACTTGTTCCAGGTCCTTCCTTCGAACTCCATCGAGTTCGGATCCTCCTCCTCATGGCCTGAAGGAAGGGGCCAACAAATTGGACAGACTTGCGACAAGCTTGCGACAAGCCTGAGGTTGGAAGATGATGGAACTGAAAGCAACAGCTTTCATCGATGTTCATATCATGTGCAGAATTAGGAGGCTCGAGCGGCTCTATACCACTTGGCACAACTTTGATGTCTTTGGCTAAGGCTTGGTTCACCCCTGCTTTCCTGAACTTGCGGTAACAAATCCTCGACCAAAATCCAATAGACGTGGCTAGTAGTATTAGTTCTGTTATGTCCTATTGAGGAGGGTTTGCTATATTACTTACTCTGCACTCTATTTCCAAAACGTACTGTCAATTGGAGAACATGATTCAGCAAGGTTATCGCTTTTGAGGGGTGGGTTCTTATCGCTTTTGCAGGCTAAAAAGTGAATTCCTGCCCTTCCGTCAGTCACCGCACCGAAGCTGGTTGCTTGCCGCTCCGATGACTTCAGGTTGGTGACCCGTGGTGGCTGACCCGTGTACGTGTACGGGTCATACACGATAAACGGGTCTTGACATGCTCAGAAACGGGTCTTCTCAATAACCGAAGAGTACCAATGCCCAGGTGGCCTTCGAAGGGCTGTTTCTGACAGCTGTGCTTGAGCATGTGAGCGGCCGACCTTGGCCATTGTGCCACTTCGCACCGCCACCCATGGTGCCTTTCAGATGGACAGTCAAGGCACTGCAAGTGGCATTCTCAGGCGTCGGTCGCAGTTTGCCAGCCCAGGGCAAGGCCGTCTTGGGCTTCGGAAGCCCGTTGCTGGGACCTCAGGTTTCACCCCAGGTTCAACCGTCCACAGTGCACACACATCACATACATGGATGGTCGGGCAATTGGAATCGGTTGTGGAAGGCTAAGTTTCGTAACATTATATGAAACATGCAACCTGGTAGTACTCCTGGCAGTGTTGATTTGTCAAATTGCCGCAATCGTGGATGGAAAAACCACAAGAACAGCGCCCGAACTCCATCTGCTGACATGCTGCCGTGGACACATCCTTCGATCTGTTTACCTTGGCCTGTCGAAACAACGTCCAAGGCACCAATCCTGGAGGCCCAGGTGGCAGGCTTGGACTCCTCCAGATCTTCCTGAGCAGGAAGAAGGTACTGAGGAAAAAGTATGAGCACGTGTTCTGAGACAAACCGACGAAGGAATTTTGGTTGTCCTTTTTGCGAGACGGCTTTCTTATACAGTGTGGGAGGCTGCCAAAGCCTCTCTTCGAATCTTGAACTGAACTGAATCCGAGAACTGCCTAACCTACCTTCGCCTCTCCTACCATCTTGCGACTGACGAGGCCTGTGTTTATGATCGAACCATGTTCAGTTTGTTTGAATCCGTTTTGAGCCATCTTCTAACAAACAAACCTTTCGGCCCCAAAGCAACGTTGCCAGGAGTTGCCCCGGCATCATGGTGGCCAAAAGGACATGAGATGACATGAGGCCAAAGGCAACGATGACCGGATGGACTTCGTCTTCCCAGGGCTTTGCACTGGGCTGCCCGGTCGATCGGTATGCCAGGTATGCGGTTGTGACGTCGATATCAAGGTTTCCAGTCCACACCGAATGCGACAAAAATCCTGATTCCATCCAACCCCCCCCCAAAAAAAGTTGCATGTTGTTGTTTCCCTTTTTTTTCTCGGGTGAACAAACCCAACTGGGGTCCAACTCCGCCATGCCGACACTCACGATCCGGGGCTCCCGACATTGAGATCCACCCAGGAACTCAAGGTCAAGTCGCTCACCTGAGGACAGCGCGGCTGTGTTGGGCTCCGTGTTCACATCACCAGCGTCTGTTAGAGACTGATGAAATACAGGAACAAGGGCAACGTACCCCATGAACTTTTATAAGCACGCCCTGCAAGTTGTCTTCACAAGACTGGAATTCCCGCCATGGCGAGGTTTGATGCTTTGGGGTCGGGTTTGTTCACCATCCGCAAGGCCAGTGTAGTTTTGCTGTTGCGTTTTGATTCGCCAAGGAGCAGGCTGGATATATCCGGAAAATCGAAAGCCCTCCACAAACATCTGAGAGATTGTTTGAAACCCTGGAAAGAAGTACAAAGCACACTACCTGCAAAGCAGATGGTGCTGCGAGGCAGGTGGAGTAGTAGCCTTGTTGGGGGGCTACTAGTAGTAGCATCTGGTAGTTTTCAGCTTGAACCCATCCTGCACGAATAGGCTGTAGAAAAGGTACCTACACACAACTACCTTCGCCTCAAAACCAGTTCCATGATTTTTTGGACTGTACGAAAACCCCAATCAGGTTGGCGGCGTAAGGCTCTAAATGTCAGACCCGGGCACTTGCAGGTTTTTGTTTTTGATGGTTTTTGTTCGCCAGTGGCTGTGCATGGTTGATTGAATCTTCCCCGCTATTTCCAAGGCAAAGAACTGTCGTGAACCTCTGATTTTGACAAGACTTAAATCCGGGTTGTCTACTGTGGCCAACCGACTGCCCCATGGCCTGGGACATTGTCTCGAACAGATCGTAGTCCAGCAACTCCGGGTCGCCTTAGCGTTTCATATGAACATTCCCGGAGTCGGAATGTGACCGGCATCTTCCATGAAGTCCGCGGATGCTTGGAGCTTTTTTTGCACTGCAAAGGCTCCTACGCACCAGCCAACACACAGCTTACGCCATGCAGGAGATTGCCAACGCGGGAGCTTTCTCTTGGTGGAGCCTACGCCAGGAGGCCTACGTGAGCAAATGCCAAGGTGAGCAAAAATGCCTATCATTAGAACTAGCTATTTGTTTCTATCGCTGAAGTGGTCCATGAAACTAACAATGAGCTCGAGGTTGAAAAGTAAATCCTGTTCGCCCCGCAAGACCAAACACCGGTTGAACAAAGCCCTTTGGCAATGGAAGGCACCAAGCCGGCCAGAAGTGAAAGCCAACTGTTAGCTGCCCCTCACCCCGAAACACCACCAAGGCTCGTTAAGGGCCTTAACCAAGGTGCGGTTCGTGATGGTTCGTGGGCTACTGGTTGAACATGAACTCTTGTTCCTACGCACAGGCCTACGCAGGGCCAAAAAATCTTTTGTAAGTCAAGAATAGTAGCGTGTGAACTAGTCCAGAAGCATGGCCGCATTTGACAGCAGCACCGGAGGTTTCAACTGGCCTTTGGCGGGAGGGCCTTGCGTGGAGGGTTTCATGAGCTTAGTTAGTGTACGTGGAAACCTTATAGTTTATCCCTTGGGACTTATGTGGATGCCTTGGCTGAATGGTGATGCAAAGGTCTTGGCTGGGAGGGCCTTACGATATGGAGGGTTTGGTTTGGGCGTGCGGGGCTTACTTGAGCTATATGGAGGCTTTGGGCGGGCTAGATGGAGGCCTTAATTTGTCTGCGTGTAGCTACACCTGCCACAAGGCCTCACTTGGCTTCAGTATCAAGAACAAAAATAGGTGGGTCAAGGCCTTGTTGAATTGCTTGTTTGTTTGCATGCTTTTCCAGGTCGTGGCAGGCTTCCAAATGCAACCGGTGTTTGTTTTCGTTGGGAATCCTTTTTGGGTACCTTCGCATCGTTAGAGTAGACGATGGAAAGAAGATGAAGAGGGAACTCCTTCAATGCTGCGTAGGGCGTAGGCTCCTTTCTGATATTGGTGTATTACCGTAGGATACCGTAGGCATACGGTTGCGCCATTAGAATATGTGGAGGGCGGCCCAGGGTTAATCCTCCCGGAAGTAGTGTATACTTCCTATTCTGTCCGTATGTTTGGGGGGCCCCCGGTCGCGCCAAGCGACGGCTCTGATCCAAAGAAGGCCACTCCTGCTCCTGGCGACGACTTTTGTCCTCTCCGCTTCAACTTCAACTTTTGAGATGGAGGCTGTGAACATGCTATTCTCTTTCAGCGGAACTCAGGTAAATCACGCATGAGGATACAGCCGTTCAGGCACCAGAAATTCTTCTTTCAAAGAAGTCGAAAGCCACGCGCAGCGTAGCCGCGAAACCTATGCCCCCTTAGATTCATCCTCTCTGCCGAATGCAAGGACCCTATAGGGAGGCCGAAATCATCCCCTTCCAGCCCATGAGCTTGTAATGGAACAACATCTTCCACTGACCCGGACCGGCACGTCTTCAATCTGAACCAAAGAGTGTGGCCATTTGGAGGCCGGTCGACACGCGTGGTGACACGCGTGGTGACCCATGGGCTGCGTAGGCTATTACATCGTCACATCATCACTTCCTGACCGATTCTTAACAATAGCAACTCCAGACTCCAGCTAGCAAAACACGGGGTTTCATGATAGCATCCAACCGGCCGCCATGGTTGGGAGATGTTGGGAGCCCTTGGGAACCCCCCACTCCCCACACCTTGGGCACGGCTTGCGACACGAGGTCCCACTGATCATCCTGTGGCCAAAACGGTCCCAAATGTGGCTCACTTGACCATTGTTTTTGCTGAACAAGTTCAGTTTACTGTGCCCCAGTCGAAAACGGTGCATTTAGCGAGGTTCTGTCCTACAATGTGTGGCAGTGAGGCTTCTATGATTCAAGTAAGACTGCGTGACGATGAGTTCTCCTCCAGGAATCCAAGCACATGCGGAGTGCACGTCTTTGTGGGTGATGCGAAGGTTTTATAGAAAAGATCGAACAGACTCACCACTCACCGTCCATTGACTTTCGAAACTTGGGAGAACTCCACGAAAAACGGGCACAAAAGGCGTTCCTTGCAACACGGAACCTGTACACACCATTCAAAACCCTGTCCACCTTCAAAGCAACATGTTTACGTCCACAACATGAGGAAAAAAGGTCCGCCTGGAAAAAACTCACAGACCTGTTTACAGTATAAATTACTGATTCCCGGACCATCCAAACGGTGCGTTTCATCCAAATCTTTCTGCATACCTGGACCCTGAACAAGTCAATAATTTCTGTACGCTTGGAACTTCTGACCTTTTCGGCCATTTGGAACACTTCCATGCTGATCTAAACGGTTCAAGCCCAAA